AAAAAAAAAAAAAAAATTCTAATTGAGAAGTAAAAGACTGGAGTGAAATTTTACTGAACTAAATTAACCTTATCTCTCTGAAAATTCTACGAATTCATGATAGTCGATCTTTGTCAAGGAGGCACGATTTACGAGATTTATTTCTTTATTTCTTATATTTCCTGCTTGGTACTTAAGACCATTGTAACGTTTTCCTGATGCTTCCCATTCAGGATGAATCAGATGTAGTGTTCCGTGCCACTACAGGCAAATGGCGGGCAGTTGTTGTAGAGATTTCTCGAATGCACAAAACAGGTCAGCCTGTTCTTGTCGGCACAACAAGCGTTGAGCAGAGTGATGCGTTGTCTGAACAGCTTCGTGAAGCTGGAATTCCCCATGAGGTAAATTTTAAATCATTAAAAGATTTTATATTTTCAGGTAACTGTGTTGCTAACAGATAAAAGCATTGGTAAAATGTCTGTAAAGGTTCTAAATGCAAAACCAGAAAATGTGGAAAGAGAAGCTGAAATTGTTGCTCAAAGTGGTCGTCTTGGGGCTGTTACAATTGCAACAAACATGGCTGGTCGTGGAACTGATATAATTCTTGGTGGTAATGCTGAATTTATGGCAAGGTTGAAGTTACGTGAGATGTTGATGCCGAGGTATTATTACGATTTATGTGGTTTGTAGATATGCATGATCTATTTTGTGCATGGGGCATGTACATTTGCACCCTTCCTCAAAATATTGGAAGAAATCATCGTATAAAAAATCTATCTGAATCCATAAAAAAGATGATGTGAATTTGCTCACCTTTTCTATCTTATGTCAAGAGAGCTTCTAGATGAAAGCTTGGGGCACAAGATAAGGTGTCAAGTTCATTCGAAGAGGTTGAAATAACCTCTTTTGAAAATTTAATTCTTCTCATATTGTTGTCATTTGTTGGAACATCCATCATATTGCCTCCATAGGCAGGCCTATTAGCACGATATCTATGCAATTCTAGTAAGAAGTCTACTGTAAGGGCTTACTAGTTATTGAAATCTCAATATTGTAATTTTATTTTTCTGAACATGGTATGGATGCGGTAGAGTTGTTAGGCCAGCTGAAGGAGTTTTTGTTTCTGTGAAGAAACCTGCTCCAGCAAAGACATGGAAGGTTGGTGTTCATATTGTCTATGCGGATTATATTTTATCCCAAATTGTTTTGCTGTGCTTTTACAAAACCTTGATGTTACTGCATAATTTCCAGGTAAATGAAAGTCTATTTCCATGCACACTATCCAAAGACAACAGCAGATTGGCCGAAGAAGCTGTGCAGTTGGCTTCCAAAACATGGGGTCAGAGGTCATTGACTGAGCTTGAAGCAGAAGATAGATTGTCATATTCTTGTGAAAAGGTGAAATCAGTGAAAATACCGCTTTTTTCTCTATTGAAATACTATTTGACTGCACATCGTGCATAGTTTCTTCAGGCCAGATGCATTTGTTAATAAAATTCTCAAGGATGTGATAAAATGTGCACGAACGGTCAAGCTATTAAGTTACTGCAAAACTGATAAATCAAAGCTTGAAAATGTAGGGTCCTGTTCGGGATGAAGTCATTGCAAAGCTGCGAAGTGCATTTCTGGAAATTGTTAAAGAGTACAAGGGTTTCACAGATGAAGAGAGGAAGAAGGTAACTGGTATTATGTGACTGCATTCCTTGTGGAAAATTTTCGGCTATTAAGAGACATCTCCTTTTCAATTCTTTTGTTTTTCGGAAGGGCCCCAGGTCCCACCATCCAAGGCATTTATAGATAGCCTCCGCACTGTTTGAGTTACTACTAGCTCTTGTTCGTAGTTAACCAATATGTGACTGCATTGGTTCATATATGTGTGTTAAATGGAGTGAAAGGGTTATGATAAAAAGGAAGAAAATGGAGAATTCGTTATACATGGATCTTGTTTTGATCATAAAACAATTTCATTTATGATCCTCTCCTCTTCCCTTCATTTCCCTGCCTTCACTTGTATTTCACAAAACATTGAAATACCAAATTTATTACTCCTATCCTTTTCTTCCCGTTTCTTTCGTTACTGTGAACTATTTGAATTAAAATGAGTATGAACAGTTAATGAGGAGATAATCTCTTTATCCATTAATATTAGCTTTACATTTCTTTTTACCATTGATCTTCACTTCCTCCTTGAGTCTCTTATTCTTTTCTTATAAATGTTATATGACGATGAATGATAAAAAGTTCTTTACATTGAATTTAAATTTAATAAGTTTCTTCTAGTTATGAGATACTTATATAACTCTAACATACCATATGCAAGTAAATACTTAAGTTTCTTCTGCCTGTAATCCTGAGGAAACGGAGATGAAAACCTCTGGTGTGTCTTTATGAGTCATTTGCAGTGACCATATATAGTATATTTGACCTTTCTCATTCCTCACAGTCATCTTACACTGTCCTTCCAATTTGGAAATGATAGGTTGTATCTGCTGGTGGACTTCACGTTGTGGGCACAGAACGTCATGAGTCGCGTCGAATTGACAATCAGGTATGAATTTGATATCTATGGGTTGAAAGCAACAAATACACGTGATAATATATCTTGGGGCTTTATTTTGCAGTTTGTTGTTTTATCTGTCCTTTTTTCCATTACTGGGTATCCTTCATAGATATACATGTGTGCAGCTGCGTGGTCGTAGTGGCAGACAGGGAGATCCTGGAAGTTCCCGGTTCTTTCTTAGTCTTGAAGATAACCTCTTCCGCGTATTTGGTGGGGATCGAATTCAGGTAACATAACCCACAATCAATTATTTCTGCCACTGTGGATATGCAAGTAGAGGGGTAAATAATGTTATGATCTTAGGGCTTGATGAGAGCTTTTAGAGTTGAAGATTTACCAATAGAATCAAAGATGTTGACAAAGGCACTAGATGAAGCTCAGAGAAAAGTGGAGAATTACTTTTTTGACATCCGAAAACAGTTATTTGAATATGATGAGGTCTTAAACAGCCAAAGAGACCGTGTCTACACAGAGAGAAGGCGAGCCTTAGAGTCCGACAATCTCCAATCTCTTCTCTTTGAATATGCTGAATTAACAATGGACGATATATTGGAGGTAAAACTCCTTTTGAGCTTGTTTTGAATTTGTCTCTTCTATAGGCTTTTGTTATTCAGCTGATGTAATATTTGTTTCTTCTTCTCTTACATGATAGGCAAATATTGGTTCCAATACTCTTAGAGAAAACTGGGATCTTGAGAAGCTTATAGCGAAAGTCCAACAGTAAGCAGCATCTTTCATTCCTACAAACGAACATCTAGATGTATTTGGCTAAGCTTATAAAGCACATGCTTCTTAAATCTCTAGCAGTAAGCACGGCAAATAAGCTGCTTAAAAGTTAGAATCCTCTTTCATTCCCGACACTCATTGCAGCTTGTAATGATCTGCAGAATATTGATGATTTTGCAAAAATATTTGGCCTTGGGTCTTATTATAAACATTGTAAAACATTAAAATTGGTTAATCATTTATTTGGGTTATTTTGACTTGTTGGGTAAGGTGGAATATTGCATGTCAATATTAGGGAGAAAATAGAAATAAAAATCTTCTCATATTGTATTGCCTAATCTAATCATGTACAGTATTGGTTAGCAAACATGCCCTTATAATTTTTCTTTTAGCTGCTGTTCCTTTTAGAGAAATAGTTGGAAAGCTATTTTAAATTCTTACTCTTCTTTTTTTTTTTAAGGTACTGTTATCTTTTGGATGATTTGACCCCTGATTTGTTGCAAACAAAATGTTCAAACTATGAGGAATTAAGAGATTACCTTCGCATTCGTGGACGTGAAGCATATCTGCAAAGGCGGGTCAGTTTTCTGTAGTCTCGCTTAATTGAAGGTTGCCTATTTTCACAGGTTTATAGCCAACATTAAGTGGACAGATGTGATTATTAAGTACCATAGTTCCACACATTTTCTTTTAGAGTAGGTAATATGCCATTAGCATTATAACATAGCACAATGCGGTATGTTTGTCCAAAGTTGGAGGTAGAGCTGGGATTCTTATAATGGGCGCTTTTTCCATGTTTGCATTTTATTTTCTTTTATATATTATTATTATTTTTTAATCTTTTTTAGGAAATAGTGGAGAAAGAGGCTCCAGGTTTGATGAAGGAGGCAGAAAAGTTCCTAATATTGAGCAATATCGACCGGCTATGGAAGGAACACTTGCAAGCTCTCAAATTTGTGCAGCAAGCTGTAGGTTTACGGGGATATGCACAAAGGGATCCACTTATCGAGTACAAGCTTGAAGGCTACAACCTGTTTATAGAGATGATGGCACAGATAAGAAGAAATGTTATATATTCAATTTACCAGGTATGTAGTTAAACAAGGGAAGTAAAACATAAATTCATATAATTGAAGTGTCGGCTTGTGCCTAATTATTTTTCTTCTTTTGTCAGTTTAAACCAGTTTTAGTGAATGAGCAAGACAAACGGCAGGGTGGGAAAGAAATGTTGGATACAAATGGAAAGGGTAGTTCCGATTCAGTTGTTGCTTCATCCGCTGTTGGCGAGCAGGGAAGCAAGAGATTGTCGACAAACAAGTCTGAAAATATCGAATTGGGAACCACTTAAAAATGTTATTTGTCTCACTTGAACGTTAGAATACCAATGACTACAAAGATTGTAAATTTTTTAGGATATTTGCAGCTGAAAAGAAATTGAAAAATCAATGTAAGAAAACAAACTCTGCATTCTGGGTTGCCATCCGTCAAATTTTGTTGGGCAACATACAAAAACTAACAAGTATTTACTTGATATAAAGATGACAACTAAGGAGGTCGATTGATTTGATCTTTTAAACAATCTAATTAAATGAAACGCAATGAGAAACTACGATAACTAGTAATTTGGTGATCATGAATATGAACGAAATTAATATATAACAAACACAATATGAAATAGGTAATACAATTTAATAAAGAAAGCATTTAAATTAAGTAAAGTAAAGTTAAGCCCCCATTTGATCCTCGTTATTTTCAAAATATATTTTTCTCACTTGTCCTTTTAGTATGCATTTTGTAATAAAATAATATTATACGTAAGAACAAAAATATTTTTTATTTTTTAACTACACATTCTCTATCAATTGGTGTCAAACAGGCCCTAAGATACATCAAAATGTATTCTACGAGAAAAATTGGTGTCAAAAAGGTGCTAAGATACATCAATCATTGCATATTTAGAATTTTGGTTCATAATAGAAAAGTAACAAGAGCTACAAGAAATTATAAAATGCATTACATTATCGAGGAAATTAAAAATATAAACAAAGATAAAAATTAAAACATGTCACTTGATTGGATTTTCGAAGTGAAATCATCAGGGTCAGCCCTGATAATTATGTAGCCTTAGGCAGCTCATTATTACGAGGCCCTTAACATAATTTTTTAATTTTATTATTATTATTATTTTTGTACAGAGCAATATTTGAAATTGAAATAACATATTTTATAACAGATTTTTAGACAAAGTTGTCCATATATCGCATACCAACTAGTGCCCCTTAATGCAAAATCTACCAAATAAACTATAAATTTATTTGTATTATTGTAGCATAACTCCAGTATAGCAAAAGATTGCTTACTTCTTTGGTTTTGAATCATCTATTCTGATCACTCTTCTTTCCATTTCCATTTGTTATTTTAGTGTAAATGTCCAAAGTCAAAATTTAAAATTTGTTAACTCATAAAAAATGGGGACAAACTTTCTGTCTTCATGAATTCGCAGTCCTTGCTTTTGTTCTTTTTTCTTAGTTTTCATTAAGTTGTGATCTGAGTTCTGATCAATTTAGTTGGCTACAAATGGTAAGACAAATGAGAAGGTAGTTCACAACTCACAAGCATTATTCTTCACCTTTTTCAAAACTATTTTTGCAGAATAATATTCTTTGCCCTTTCAACTTTACTTTTTGCACGAATTTTTTTTTACAGACTTTTAGGTTGTTTCTGAGGCCCCTTAAAAGTTGAGGCCGTAGGACATTGCCTAGTTGACTTTGGTCCAGGGCCGGCCCAAGAACCTTTTTATGAGCTCCTTCTTCCTTCAATTTTCGAAATTATCTACTAGCTTTGCTTTTTTTACTTTCCCCTCTTTTGAACCTCCAAAACGTCTTCAAAAATCTCTCTTTTTTTAGCCTCTCCAGGTTTCCAATAACAGCTCTCCTCCTTTGTGAAAGAAAAATGGTATTTATAGTCTTGTGTTGTTAACAGCTCGAGTTTTATTCCTTTGAAGTTCCAAAAATGTCCTCGAGGACAAATATGAATTACGTAGGAAAGTGATCCTCTTAATTTCAATAATGACATTGCTTTTCCTTTTTTATTACTTGAATTTTACAATGTACCCCAAACATTCATTTTTCTCTCTTATCATCAAATTCATGAAAGCTCGGGTCTCGACTATTCCATTTTGCTTTTCAAACTCCAATTTCTTCTCGTTTTCTTTCCATTTTCATCAATGTAGCCCATGTTTGGAACAAAGCCTAAAACATGAAAATTAGCCAAAATAAATAGTAATAACATATAAAATACTCGATAAACTAACATAAAATCATTTAAGAGTTGAGATATGTAAGAATTACAATTATCAAAAACCCCAAACTTAACTTTTGCTAGTAGTCTGGCAAAACTAAGCTAAGCTATGAATCAGTAGAGATGAAAGAAGATGCAACTCGGTCAAATATCATGTTGTTGACGAGTTTATGCATATAATTTGATAGAAAAATTCAAAAAAGCTGTGATTGAAAAATTTATACTTATTCGATACTTCATTCTCTCCGTGTTTGTGCTTCGCCCTCTCCAGTACTTAGTCGATACTTAAGTAGGATCATGTAGACAGAT